CATCATCACGGTGGCTAGGAGATGTTGACTACCTCGCCTGGTGTGCAGGAGGTCGTGGGTTCAATCCCGACCCTGACTACGCCTGCTGCTGCTGCTGTATATTTGGAGTCTGTGTCTCTCTCTCTCATCATCATCACGGTGGCTAAGAGATGTTGACTACCTCGCCTGGTATACAGGAGGTCGTGGGTTCAATCCCGACCCTGACTAGGCCTGCTGCTGCTGTATATTTGGAGTCTGCGTCTCTCTCTCTCCCGGGGGTCGCATAGATTTTCCCCGGGTCGCATGGTTTTTCCCTTCCACATTTAGAATCAACGTCACCACGCGTTCAGAGTTTTTGGCTGCTGCTATAAATTTCCACGCGATAAGCCCACTGCTATCATTCGTGGCCAGGCCGCTTCTGAAAAAAGCTAACTACATTGAGTGTGAGTGAGTGTGTGTGAGTAAGTGTGTGTGTGTGAGAGTGTGAGTGTGTGTGTGAGTGTGTGTGTGTGTTTGACCTGGTCAAGGCCTATGATACCATCAGTAGGCCTGGGCTCTGGGTTGTTCTTCGTGCTTTTGGAGTCCCTGACCCTCTGCTCACGATCATTAAGGACCTTCATGATTGTGAACGGGCCCGGGTAAAACTACGTGGCCGGGACTCAGAGCCATTCCCTGTACACCTTGGGGTGCGACAGGGATATCCTCTGGCTCCCACATTATTTAACATCTATTTTGACCACGTAGTTCGTGAAGCCTTCAATAGCTGTACTGGGGGAATCTCCATTTGGTACAGATATAATGGGAGGCTAATCGATGCCCGGGTGCGGTCAAGGGATGGCTCCCTATTGCTCAACCACGTTATGTATGCCGATGATTTGGTAATAGCTGCTCATTCAGAGGAGGAGTTGGCGACGCTGCTGCTGAGACTGGAGCGTGCCACTAAGAGATGGGGCCTTACCATCAGCCCCACCAAAACTAAGCACCTGCCTGGGTATTTTGTGCCATCAGACACTACACCCCCACAACTCCCAATCGGTGATGGGACAGTTATGGAGAGAGTGGAGAGTTTCCCATACCTGGGCAGTGTGCTTATGGCTGGCTCCAGTTTAACAGCAGAGGTCTCACTCCGAATCAGTCGAGCGGCAATATCTTTTCATCGGTTGCGTAACGCTGTGTAGAAGCTACCTGGTCTGTCGCTCCACACTAAGCTTCAGGTGTTCTCGGCCACGGTCATTCCCTCCCTTCTCTACGCTTGCGAAACGTCGACCCCCCCAAATGGAACATCTTCGCGGGTTAGAAACATTTAGGCTAGCCTGCCTATGATCCATCCGGGGTTTAACCAGGCTGGATTGTGTGAGGAGCTCACAAATTCTTGAAAGATCTGGGCACGGTCCCATCGGTGAGCTCCTCCGGCAGGCAAGGCTGCGTTGGCTGGGTCATGTAGCCCGCATGCCCAGCCACCACATGCCGAAACAGCTTTTGTTCGGCCGGATCGAGGGAGCTAAACGGGCGCAGCACGGACTAGAGAAGAGATGGAGTGATGTGGTACAGGAGGACGTGGAGCTGAGTGGACTTGCCGATGACTGGTACCAGCGGTGTCAAGATCGGCCTCTGTGGAGGAGGCTCGTGAAGGACGCTACTGGGCAGTTGGAGGCAGTCGCCCTCCAACAACAACGGAGGGTGGAGGAGCGACGCTCACAACAACGAGCGGAGCGCCGGGTGGCTAAAGCACAGCAGGTTGGCACAGTAGGGGGCACAGGTGGTGCATCAGCCAGTCATCTCAGTCAGTCGACCCGTGGCACCTGGGTCTGCCCCGTGACCTCCTGCCAGCTTGCGTTCGACACTTCACGTGGCCTCAAGGTGCACATGGCCTGGCACAAGCGTCGTGGTGACGTCACTGCCACTTAGTGGTGAATGGCGGTTGTTGTTGTGTGTGTGTGAGTGTGGGTGAGTGTGGGTGAGTGTGGGTGAGTGTGGGTGAGTGTGTGAGTGTATGTGTGTGTGAGTGTATGTGTGTGAGTGTGTGTGAGTGTGTGAGTGAGTGTGTGAGTGAGTGTGAGTGTGTGTGGTAGTGTAGAAGTCAGCGCCACGCCGCGTTACGAACCCGGCGTCCCGAGTTCGATTCCCGCTCACGGCCCTCCAACACCGCCAGTGACGGCGATCATCAGAACCGGTCCTGGGCCTCCCCTAAGTCGACTCAGCTTCAAATGACCGCCCGCTGCGGTGCGCGGTGAACACCGCCACCGTGGGAGAGACAAAGACGGCCGGGCGTTGTTGCTGGCCAAGCCACCCTCCCCCCCGCGTGCCCTTGGTGTACGGCACTTGCCCCGGCAGCCCATGGAGGCTACACGGGGGACCTTTGTCTCGTCCTATCGCCGCTTCCTGCGTTACGTTTCCTCCGGCTCGTAGCAGTTTCCGCCTCCCGCAAGCTGCTGGCAACTAAATGAAACGAAAAAAAAAAACGACCTGGCAACAAAATGCAGGCGGCGTTGTCGTCCGAGACATCGCGACACTGAGACATTGTCACACCACCACTTAGTCCACCGCCTACTCCACCACCTACTCCACCACTTACTCCACCACTTAGTCCACCACCTACTCCACCATCTACTCCACCACTTACTCCAGCACTTACTCCAGCACCTACTCCACCACTTACTCCACCACTTACTCCACCACTTAGTCCACCACCTACTCCACCACTTACTCCAGCACTTACTCCACCGCAAACTCCACCACTTACTCCAGCACTGACTCCACCACTTACTTCACCACCTACACCACCACCTACTCCACCACCTACTCCAGCACCTACTCCAGCACTTACTCCACCACCTACTCCAAGACCTACTCCACCACTTACTCCACCACTTACTCCACCACCTACTCCACCACCTACTCCAGCACCTACTCCAGCACCTACTCCACCACATACTCCAGAACCTACTCCACCACTTAGTCCACCACCTACTCCACCACCGACTCCACCACTTACTCCACCACTTACTCCAGCACTTACTCCACCACCTACTCCAGCACCTACTCCAGCACCTACTCCACCACTTAGTCCACCACCTACTCCACCACCGACTCCACCACTTACTCCACCACTTACTCCAGCACTTACTCCACCACTTACTCCAGCACTTACTCCACCACTTACTCCACGACTTACTCGAGCACTTACTCCACCACTTACTCCACCACTTACTCCACTACTTCACCACTTACTCCACCACTTCACCACTTACTCCACCACTTACTCCCCATCCACCACCTCCACCACCTCCCTCCTAGCATCAGGATTGACATGGTGGCTAGGAGATGTTGACTACCTCGCCTGGTGTGCAGGAGGTCGTGGGTTCGATCCCTGCCACTGACGATGCCTGCTGCTGCTGCTGTAGATTTGGAGTCTGTGTCTCTATCATCATCATCACGGTGGCTAGGAGATGTTGACTACCTCGCCTGGTGTGCAGGAGGTCGTGGGTTCAATCCCTGCCACTGACGATGCCTGCTGCTGCTGTAGATTTGGAGTCTGCGTCTTTCTCCCCGTGGTGGTCACTGCGTGGATCGATCTCCGGGTCCTCCGGTTTTTCCCCTCCGCGTTCAGAATCGACGTCACCACGCGTTGTGGACGATTTGGCTGCGGCTGTAAATGTCCACGTGATGCTGCTCAGCCACTTTGATGAGCTGCATCATTATTGGTGGCCAGGCCACTTCTGAAAAAGAACTACAACAGCTCTTGATCTCTGCGTGACTTTATGGGTCTCTGTGTAACTCTATGGATCTCTGTGTAACTGATGGTGGCGGTGATAGTGGTGATGATGGTGGTAATGGTGGCGGTGATGATGGTAATGATGGCAGTGATGATGGTGATGATGGCGGTCATGGCGGTGATGGTGGCGGTGATGGTGATGATGGCGGTGATAGTGGTGATGATGGTGGTAATGGTGGCGGTGATGGTGGTAATGATGGCAGTGATGATGGTGATGATGGCGGTCATGGCGGTGATGGTGGCGGTGATGGTGATGATGGCGGTGATGGTTGTGATGATGGTGATGATGGCAGTGATGGTGGCGGGGATGGTGATGATGGCGGTGATGATGATGATGATGGCGGTAATGGTTGTAATGATGGTGATGATGGTGGTGATGGTGGCGGGGATGGTGATGATGGCGGTGATGGTTGTGATGATGGTGATGATGGCGGTGATGGTGATGATGGCGGTGATGGTGAACCCAACGTGCGTCTCGCCCCGCAGGTCTGCGCCTACCCAGTGCACCGCTAGACCCGGCTCCCCACCGCCAGTGGCACAACCAACACCACCACCACACCACCACCACCACCACCACACCACCACCACACCACCACCCTCTAACACCACCACCAACACCACCACCGCCGCCACCACCACTATCACACAACCACCCCTTAACACCACCACCATCATTAACATCCACTAACACCACCGCTAACACCACCAACACTGCCACCAACACCACCACTACCAACACCACCACCACCACCCTCTAACACCGCCAACACCACACAACCACCAACACCACCCTTTAACACCGCCAACACCACACAACCACCAACAGCACCCTCTAACACCACCAACACCACACAACCACCAACACCACCACCCTCTAACACCGCCAACACCACACAACCACCAACACCACCACCCTCTAACACCGCCAACACCACACAACCACCAACAGCACCCTCTAACACCGCCAACACCACACAACCACCAACACCACCCTCTAACACCACCAACACCACACAACCACCAACACCACCCTCTAACACCGCCAACACCACACAACCACCAACAGCACCCTCTAACACCACCAACACCACACAACCACCAACACCACCACCCTCTAACACCGCCAACACCACACAACCACCAACACCACCACCCTCTAACACCGCCAACACCACACAACCACCAACACCACCACCCTCTTAACACCGCCAACACCACACAACCACCAACACCACCCTCTAACACCGCCAACACCACACAACCACCAACACCACCCTCTAACACCGCCAACACCACACAACCACCAACACCACCCTCTAACACCGCCACCGCCACCGCCGCCGCCGCCACCATGCACCAGTGCGACCAGTGCCCGTACAGCACCGACTGCTACGTCAAGTTCAAGCGCCACGCGCTGGGCCACGCCGAGGCGCGGCCGTTCGCGTGCGCCGCCTGCGGCAGGGCCTTCGCCCGCCTCAAGTCGCTGCACGTGCACCGCCGCATCCACACGGAGGACCGCCCCTACCAATGCCCCGCGTGCCCCAAGGCGTTCACGCGCTCCACCACCCTCTACAAGCACCGCAAGATCCACACGGGCGAGAAGCCGTACGCGTGCGGCCTCTGCGCCAAGGCCTTCACCCAGTCGGAGCACCTCGACCGCCACACCCGGGTCCACACGGGCGACCGCCCTTACGCCTGCGCCGTGTGCGCCAAGACGTTCGCGCAGTCGCAGCACCTGCGCTGCCACCAGCGGACGCACACGGGCGACGGCCTCGTCATGTGCGCCCAGTGCGGCAAGGTGCTCACGTCGGCCAAGAGCCTCCGGCTGCACGAGCGCTCGCACGCCAAGGAGCGCCAGCAGCAGCAGCAGCAGCAGCAGCGGCGGCAGTGGCAGCAGTGCGACGGTGACGGAGGGGGGGAGGACGCGGGGGCGGCGGCGGCGACTGCGTCGGCCGAGTCGTCGGCGTCGGCGTCGGCGTCGGCGTCGGCGGCGTCGTCCGCCTCCCCGTCGGCCTCCCCGTCGTGCTCCCGGTGCGGCGAGCAGTTCGCGCGGCTCTCGCTGCTGTGGGAGCACCAGCGGGCGCGGGCGTGCGAGCGCCCGCACCGCTGCGCCTTCTGCGGCAAGACGTTCGGCAAGTCGAAGGCGCTCAAGATGCACACGCGCATGCACACGGGCGAGCGCCCGTACGCGTGCCCCGTGTGCGCCAAGGCGTTCACGCGCGCCGCCACCCTCTACAAGCACAAGCGCATCCACGCCGACGAGAAGCCCTTCAAGTGCGCCGTGTGCGCCCGCGCCTTCACCCAGGCCGAGCACCTGCAGCGGCACCGCACGGTGCACACGGGGGAGCGGCCGCACGCCTGCGGCGAGTGCGGCAAGGCCTTCGCCCTGCTCGAGTACCTCCGCTGCCACCAGAAGACGCACGCCGTCGAGGAGCTGCACCTGTGCGCCGAGTGCGGCAAGGTGTTCTCGTCCGTCAAGACGCTGCGCGTGCACAAGCGGCTGCACCTGCGGCGCGCGGCCGGCGGGGGCGGCGGCGCCGGCGGCGGCGGCGGCGGCCGGCGACCGTTCGTGAGGTTCGTCGGCGACGACGACGACGACGACGACGACGGGGAGGAGGAGGCGGAGGAGGAGGAGGAGGAAGAGGAGGAGGAGGTGGGGGACGAAGACGACTGCGGCTACGGCGGGCTCAGCTGCACCGAGTGCTGGGAGACGTTCGCCGATTTCGAGCAGCTCCGGGCTCACCAGAGGATTCACACCGGGGAGGCGGTGGCGGTGAAATTCGAGGGAGCCGGCGGTCGCGGCGGCGGCGGCGGCGGCGACGAGGAGGAGGAGGAGGAATTGGCACGGACGCTGCCGTTCATAAAGCAAGAGCCGCCGGACGACCTCGGCTGCGACGCGTGGCCGGGGCTGGCCGCGGCCCGTCAGGACGACTACGGCGGCGGTTACGGCGGCGGAGACAAAGACGACGAGCAGCAGCAGCAGCAGCAGCAGCAGGAGGAGAAAGAGGAGAGGGCGGTTGCCGTCGGCGTCGCCGGCAGGCGGCACGTCCGGCGGCGCGTCAAGCGGGAGAGGGGGAGCCGGGGACGCGCGGCGTGGCGGCCGCCGGCGGCGGTGAAGGTGGAGGCGGACGACGAGGAGGAGGAGGAGGAGGGGAACCGCGGCGTCAAAGTGGAGCGCGAGGAGGTGAACGATGAGGAGGAGGAGGAGGAGGGAAGCCGGTCCGTGGCGCGAGGGCGACGCGGAGTCAATGGTCGCTCCGCGCAGGCGGCTGAAAACTAGATTATTTTTTTTTACTGCTACGACTACGACACATCCCATCAGCCGCGAGGAAGCCACCGGGCCCCGGTGTGCCGGTCCGGGTCTCCCGGACGTGCCCGGCGTCTCATCGGCAGCACCGGAGTCGTCGGTCGTCGTGGGGGATGGGGGGGGGGGGGGGGTGGGGTGGGGGTCGAGAGCCGTCTGCTCCGGCGGTCACCGCGGGGCGAAAAAACTCCGGACGTTTTTTTTTTTTTTTCCGACGCTCCCGGCGTCTCGTCGGCAGCTCGCTTCTCGAGAGACGCCGCGACGCTTCGTGTGCGGTGCGGTGGGGGGGAGGGGGGCACCTTGATGCCGGTGATTTTTTGTTTCCTTTTCCGATAAAATGAATCGTCGCCGGTTCGCCTTGAAACTGTTCATTTCATTTCGCTTGGATGCTTTTTGCGTGATGTCCCCCGCTCGGCTGTTTAAAATTATGACGACGGCGGCGCAAGGCCGCGGACGAGAACCTCGCCGTGGCCGCGGACGAGGAGAACCTCGCCATGGCCACGGACTAGGTAGGAGAACCTCGCCATGGCCATGTACTAGGTAGGAGAGCCTCGCCATGACCATGGACGAGGAGAACCTCGCCATGGCCACGGACTAGGTAGGAGAACCTCGCCATGGCCATGGACTAGGTAGGAGAACCTCGCCATGGCCATGGACGAGGAGAACCTCGCCATGGCCATGGACTAGGAGAACCTCGCCATGGCCATGGACTAGGAGAACCTCACCATGGCCATGGACGAGGAGGACCTCACCATGACCATGGACGAGGAGAACCTCACCATGGCCACGGACTAGGTAGGAGAGCCTTGCCAGGCCATGGACTAGGAGAACCTCGCCATGACCATGGACTAAGTAGGAGAGCCTTGCCAGGCCGTGGACTAGGAGAGCCTCACCATGGCCACGGACTAGGTAGGAGAGCCTTGCCAGGCCATGGACTAGGAGAACCTCGCCATGACCATGGACTAAGTAGGAGAGCCTTGCCAGGCCGTGGACTAGGAGAGCCTCACCATGGCCACGGACTAGGTAGGAGAGCCTCGCCAGGCCATGGACGAGGAGAACCTCGCCATGACCATGGACTAAGTCGGAGAGCCTTGCCAGGCCGTGGACTAGGAGAGCCTCACCATGGCCACGGACTAGGTAGGAGAGCCTTGCCAGGCCATGGACTAGGAGAGCCTCGCGTCGTCGCGCCTGGAAGTGTTCGCCGGCTGTGAGCCAGAAGTGTGCGGGCGAATCCCCGTCCGTTCCACCTCGCTCCCTTCCTACCAGTGGGTGGGCGTAGAGGAGTACGAGTCGTCGCGCACACGCAGTACGCACACAGTACACACACAGTACGCACGCAGTACAAACACAGTACGCACACAGTACACACGCAGTACGCACGCAGTACACACACAGTACGCACGCAGTATACACACAGTACACACACAGTACACGCACGCAGTACGCACGCAGTACACACACAGCAAACACAGTACACACGCAGTACACATGCAGTACACACACAGCAAACACAGTACACACACAGTACACACGCAGTACGCACACAGTACACACACAGTACACACACAGAGTACACACGCAGTAGACACGCAGTACGCACGCAGTACACACACAGAGTAGACACACAGTACACACACACAGTACGCACGCAGTACACACACAGTACACACGCAGTACGCACGCAGTACACACGCAGTACGCACACAGTACACACACAGTACACACACAGAGTACACACGCAGTACGCACGCAGTACACACGAAGTACACACGAAGTACGTACGCAGTACACACACAGTACGCACGCAGTACACACACAGTACACACACAGTACGCACGCAGTACACACAGTACACACGCAGTACACACAGTACACACACAGTACACACACACAGTACGCACGCAGTACACACACAGTACGCACACACAGTACGCACACACAGTACGCACGCAATACACACACACAGTAGACACACACAGTACACACACACACAGTAGACAGTCCACACACAGTACGCACACACAGTACGCACGCAGTACACACACAGTAGACACAGTACACACACAGCAAACACAGTACACACACAGTACACACACAGTACGCACACAGTACACACACAGTGCACACACAGTACACACACAGTACACACACACAGTAGACACACACAGTAGACACAGTACACACACAGCAAACACAGTGCACACACAGTACACACACACAGTACGCACGCAGTACACACACAGTACACACACAGTAGACACGGTACACACACAGCAAACACAGTACACACACAGTACACACAGCACACACACGCAGTACACACACGCAGTACACACACAGTATACACACGCAGTACACACACACAGTAGACACACACAGTAGACACACACAGTAGACACACACAGTACACACACACAGTACACACACAGTGCACACACACAGTACACACACAGTACGCACGCAGTACGCACGCAGTACACACACAGTAGACACAGTACACACACAGTACACACACACAGTAGACACACACAGTAGACACACAGTACACACACACAGTACACACACAGTGCACACACACAGTACGCACGCAGTACGCACGCAGTACACACACAGTAGACACAGTACACACACAGTAGACACAGTACACACACAGCAAACACAGTACACACACAGTACACACACAGTACACACAGCACACACACGCAGTACACACACGCAGTACACACACACAGTAGACACACACAGTAGACACACAGTACACACACAGTGCACACACACAGTAGACACACACAGTACACACACACAGTTCACACACAGTACACACACAGTAGACACAGTACACACACAGTACACACACACAGTAGACACACAGTAGACACACACAGTACACACACACAGTACACACACAGTGCACACACAGTACACACACAGTACGCACGCAGTACGCACACAGTACACACACAGTAGACACAGTACACACACAGCAAACACAGTACACACACAGTAGACAACACACAGTAGACACACACAGTACACACACACAGTGCACACACAGTACACACACAGTACGCACGCAGTACACACACAGTAGATACAGTACACACACAGCAAACACAGTACACACACAGTACACACAGTACACACACAGTAGACAGTACACACAGTACACACACAGTAGACAGTACACACAGTACACACACACACAGTACACACACAGTACACACACACAGTACACACACAGCACACATTTAAAATATCGTCCAACCGCGTGGTGGAGCCAACGCTGTGCGTGCGTCGCCGCACGGAGCCAGCCACGCAGATCGGAGGCGCGGTGGCCGAGGACGACAAACTTAACAACAACAACGACAAGCGAACTGTGTACGTACGTTGAGGACAAGCTTAGACAACAACAACAACAACAAGCGAACTGTGTACGTACGTTGGGGACAATCTAAGACAACAACAACAAGCGAACTGTGTACGTACGTTGAGGACAAGCTTAGACAACAACAACAAGTGAACTATGTACGTACGTTGGGGACAATCTAAGACAACAACAAGCGAACTGTGTACGTACGTTGGGGACAATCTAAGACAACAACAACAAGCGAACTGTGTACGTACGTTGAGGACAAGCTAAGACAACATCAACAACAAGCGAACTGTGTACGTACGTTGAGGACAAGCTTAGACAACAACAACAAGCGAACTGTGTACGTACGTTGAGGACAAGCTTAGACAACAACAACAAGCAAACTGTGTACGTACGTTGAGGACAAGCTTAGACAACAACAAGAACAACAACAAGCGAACTGTGTACGTACGTTGGAGACAAGCTAAGACAACAACAAGGGAACTGTGTACGTACGTTGAGGACAAGCTTAGACAACAACAACAACAACAAGCGAACTGTGTACGTACGTTGAGGACAAGCTTAGACAACAAGAACAACAACAAGGGAACTGTGTACGTACGTTGAGGACAAGCTTAGACAACAACAAGCGAACTGTGTACGTACGTTGGGGACAAGCTAAGACAACAACAACAAGCGAACTGTGTACGTACGTTGAGGACAAGCATAGACAACAACAAGCGAACTGTGTACGTGCGTTGAGGACAAGCTTAGACAACAAGAACAACAACAAGCGAACTGTGTACTACGTTGGGGACAAGCTAAGACAACAACAACGACAAGCGAACTGTGTACGTACGTTGAGGACAAGCTAAGACAACAACAACAAGCGAACTGTGTACGTACGTTGAGGACAAGCTAAGACAACAACAACAAGCGAACTGTGTACGTGCGTTGAGGACAAGCTTAGACAACAACAACAAGCGAACTGTGTACGTACGTTGAGGACAAGCTTAGACAACAAGCGAACTGTGTACGTACGTTGAGGACAATCTAAGACAACAACAAGCGAACTGTGTACGTACGTTGAGGACAAGCTTAGACAACACAACAACAGCAAGCGAACTGTGTACGTACGTTGAGGACAAGCTTAGACAACACAACAACAACAAGCGAACTGTGTACGTACGTTGAGGACAAGCTTAGACAACAACAAGCGAACTGTGTACGTACGTTGGGGACAAGCTAAGACAACAAGAACAATAACAACAAGTGAACTGTGTACGTACGCTGAGGACAAGCTTAGACAACAACAAGCGAACTGTGTACGTACGTTGAGGACAAGCTTAGACAACACAACAACAACAAGCGAACTGTGTACGTACTTTGGCTTCTGCAAATTCGTTTGAGTCGAGTGAGGTTCTTCAAGTCACGCGAAGAGAGCGGCATCCCTACATTTGTAGCTTGCGTTGTTAAATATTTACGGGGGGGGGGGGCGCGAGGGGGGGGGGCAAGGGTGGGGGGGGGAGGGGAACGTGCCCGTGCGCGTCACGTGGCGCGTCACGTGCGTTCTAGCGCGTCGCAGCGCGGCGTCACGTGCCGCGTCACGTGACGTGGTGGTGTG